GAAATGTGGACCCTATGGGCAAAAAAAGTAAAAAATCCCATTTTTGGGATTTTCATTCCTATTTTTGGCAATTGCGGGATGCCCTTTGACCTTTTCAATTTTTTTTTTTGCATATTCTTATTTGAAATGACAAATTTAACAAGCGTTGAAAATTTCATTGAGTTTTGTTCATAAATAAAGATTTTGTCATATATTACATATTTGTTTAATTTCTAAAACTATGTTTTACATCAAAATTTTAATAGGATCGCAGATAGCTACAACAATTTAGTCCATATTTATCCCTTAATATCATTTTTTAGTTAGATATGGAAATTCTCGACCCTTTACAAAAAATTTCAAGCCAATATCTCAATTACATTCAAAAATATGTTCATTTAAACCTGTGTCCTTTAATTTCATCTTTTTCATATTTTAGTATTAAGTATGACAGCACATATTTAAATCTTATATTTACCTATTTTCTATTTGTTTGCTTATCCTTATAATGCTTATGCTTAAATTTTCAAAAATTTATAACTATTTTTTACCTAAATTTTTTCGACAGATCATTTCGTTCTGTTTCGTTTATGATCATGTAGGTAAAAATATACAGGTAATGATAATTTCGATTCATTCACTAATAAGAAATATCAATGACTGAATTACAGGTTATAGTAATATAGTCCTAAATGTTAATAGATAGACAGTTCGTAATTTTTTACTTTGGAATACCTGTATCGGAAATGACAAGAATTGGTATATAAGTAAACTTCTCAGATTTTAAGTACCATATTTAATAAATCTATAATGAAGATTACATTAAAGTACGAAGATTTGTGTTCCGTTTTATGGAGTATATCTTCAAAAGGGCCAGAAAGAATTGAAGACATTTCAAATTATATAAAAACTACATATAGTAGAAAAGTAGACAAAACAGGCATATCAAAAATTGAAAACTTTTTAAAACTTTTTGATGTAAAAAGTAAGTCTGTGGATGGAAATCAAAAGAAATTTCGATTAAAATTTTGTAGTTGGATGGAAACTACTACGGAAATCTCAACTTACAACACATCAATAGGAGCGCCTTGCAAGTCATACGAAGACTTATGTTCAAGGTAAAAAAAGAGGGTCACACAAAAACTTTTTTCAATCTCAAATGAGGAAATTGCTGATACATTTAACGAAATGCTGAAAAAGGAAAACCAACATATGGATGTCGTACATATTGCAACTATTCTTCCTAATGCATCACCAAAACGACTTAAGCGAATTGTGGAAAGTATACCAACTCCAACATCATAATCAAATTTTACTGAAGAGGAAGCAATAGCGCTTATGTTGGAACTGGGTCTCAGTCGAAATAAGTACCAAATATTAAGGAAAGCTCTGCATGAAAAAGGACACAATATATTACCATCATACAAGGCGATCCAGGAAAAAAAAAAAAACAAATTATCCTACTAAATCAACAAAAAATAATGAAGAATTGATGAGCTGCGGAAAAAAGCAGAATCCAAGAAGAATTTAAAGTTCAGATGGGATTAAACATCGACAAACCACTTTCAAGTTGCGGTAGTACAAATGACGGTAATACGTCGAGAAGGTTTTTTCGTGATTTTGAAATTACTTCAAAAATAACTGGAATCGACAAGGAGTTGCTTCGAAGAGTTAAAACTATTTTAATGGCACTGAATAGTAAACATAAAATTAATGAAAATCGATTTGGGAAATTTCTAAATTACTTGTATCTCTGTATCCATGGAGGGAACTAACACCAACAGTACACAAAGTATTGTGTCATGGTCAAATAATAATTGAATCGAATATTCTTCCACTTGGAGAGTTAACAGAAGAAGCCCAGGAAGCGAGGAATCGAGATTTTAAGCATGTTCAACTATTCAGCTCAAGAAAATGCTCCAGGCAATCACAGAATGAAGATATTTTTAATAGTTTACTTCTATCTTCTGATCCTGTTCTTTCAACTATGCGAAAAAGATGGATTTGTTATGAAACTCTATCATCTCAAAACAAGGAAGATTTAAAGGACTTATATTACCTTCTGGATATGTATACCGATATGACAGATTATTTTATAGAAAATAAGTAGTGTTAGGTAGGTTGTAAGAATTAATTGTATTATGTTTAAGATAAACAGTTCAAATAAAAAAAGCTATTATACTAACTGATGATATTGTATTAAATTGTGTTTTATATTTCGGTGGGCGGGAAAGGTAATTTGTGTGGGGTGATTTAGGTGTTGTTGTGCGTGGCTCATAATAAAATTATAATTTTTTTATTTTATATACAATATTATAATAAAATAATTAACTACATAATTTTTAAAAATTGTCCAAATATTTTATTCAACACCAAATGTATGTTCTGTCATACTTAATACTAAAATATGAAAAAGATGAAATTAAAGGACACAGGTTTAAATGAACATATTTTTGAATGTAATTGAGATATTGGCTTGAAATTTTTTGTAAAGGGTCGAGAATTTCCATATCTAACTAAAAAATGATATTAAGGGATAAATATGGACTAAATTGTTGTAGCTATCTGCGATCCTATTAAAATTTTGATGTAAATCATAGTTTTAGAAATTAAACAAATATGTAATATATGACAAAATCTTTATTTATGAACAAAACTCAATGAAATTTTCAACGCTTGTTAAATTTGTCATTTCAAATAAGAATATGCAAAAAAAAAATTGAAAAGGTCAAAGGGCATCCCGCAATTCCCAAAAATAGGAATGAAAATCCCAAAAATGGGATTTTTTACTTTTTTGCCCATAGGGTCCACATTTCTTTCAGGGCTGGGAAAATACTTTTGGAGTAAATAGAAAACATATTGAGGTTTCCAAAACTGCTTTCAGTTTTCTGATCCCAGCTTTGGGATTTTAGAACATGTCGCCCAAAGTTGAAGTTTTGATAAAAAATAGGTCATATTCGGAAGGACGCAGTGGCAACATTTTCAAAAAATAGGACAAGTTTTTTACGCCAAAGCGTTCTGCGTAAAGATACCTTTTAGAAAACTATAAAATTGTTATATGTTCTTAATAAAAATTTTATTTTTTTAATAAAAGAGTTAAGACACATTTTTGGCAAAAAAACGCCAAAAATCTAAAATTTTTTGAATTTTTAAATTAAAAAACGTATATTTTTGGATCTGTAAACAATATTGATCTGAAATTTTTTGTATATTATTGGAAATTTTGTTGTCTAACTAACAAGAAAAAATTGAGTCCATTTGGTCCAAAATTACGCCCGGTATTCAAAAAAAGGCGGACCAAGGTATGGTAAATTTTGTATCACTAAATTTTTAAATGCCTATAACTCGGATATTATAAGAGATAAGTAGTATGTCCAAGCATGTTTTTTCAAGATCTCGTCGAGCGCTTTCACAAAATATAAAAATCTTTGTATTTGGGTGAAAAACAAAAAAATGGCACGAGTTTAAAAATTTTACATGTCGTAGGTACCCTACTTTGAGCCGCCACAGCGCCGTCCCTGGGCCATCTGCAGGGTTCATCTTCAAAACTTAAACTCGAATACTCCTTGGCTACGCTCACGCCAAATTTTATCCCGATCGGATCAGCCGTTTAGAAATGCCAGATTTATTTCCAAAAAATTTCCATTCTGCCCCACTGTGTGTTGTTATGTAGAAAATTTACATAAGTGGATAATAAAATTAAGAGATGGTCCTCTTCATATTGATTAATAAAACTCTCAAAAACAAACAAAAATCACAGATGTTGAAGTGACAATTATGTATGAAAATGATTTGCATGATAATCATTATACTTTTTTCCACAATTAAGAAAAATGTTTGATAGCAGGCAAGTTCATTGAACATTAGGAACAGTTGTAAAGGGATAGAAAAGTTACATTGTGTTAATGAAACAAAAGCATTAAAACAATGAACTTTATTCCAGTAAAATCGATAAGGTAAGTTGACAACATTGCTAGAGTTATATTAATTTTAAATGAGAGAAAAATGTTTAGAAAATTTTATCGGGTTAGACATATAGGATTTGTAGTTTTTTCAAATGGAATACAACTCTGATATATTAAATTACGAATGCTTTAAATCGGTCCCCATGTATTTCATATAAATATTGTATTTCGAAAATCTTGTACTTATAAACCTTTTCTTTCAGCTCTCAAGCTCTAGTAGACTCTACCCTCTATTTACTATTTTTAATTGCAATCCTTAAAAAGGAATTTTACTAACTACCCAACACTTAAGTACTTTACATGCTTTAGTGTCACTAACATTTCCTTAACCCTGAATAATATCTACTAAAATCTAAATAAATTATTTAAATTTATGTCTAGTATCATCTACTTCTGAAAACACCTTCTTTGTTTAGCATGGTTACAAACCTATTTGTATTACTATATAGACACAATGAAGGGGATTTATGCTAAATAATAAAAAAGAACTCAAGTAGCAGCAATGCCACAATATTTCTTTGCATAAGAAATAAGTTAAAAACCAAAGTATACCTTCAAGCTGTTTCATGTTTTAATTGTATGTACTCAAGAATGTGGTGTGTATTTTTTTGGAATTTTTTTTCAAAGTAACTTGTGTTGATATTTTAGAAATGATAATTTTTGCACCATTTCCATTTAAATCTCTAGATAACACCTCGCCTATGAAAACTGTCAAATAAAGCCAAAGGTTTTAAACTAAAAAACAAGTTTGGCAAACTTAAAGGCCCTTCACACTGTCACACTTTACGTACGACAAGTCTAATGAAAAAGTAAAATGAAATTCCATCCGTATGCCAAAAAAGAGAATAAAAGTCGTATGATTTATATTTTTTGTGTTTACACGATTGGTATAAAACAATAACAAAGTAAGATGGAACAGCTGATCTAATACGACTTGCTTGTTTTTTGAATCATTTCTAAAAATGAAGAGAGCCATACGACTGTCAAATTTTCCATTCGTATTTTCTCTCAAAGTGTGATGGTTTCATTACATATTGCGTTTAGACGATCCCATCCGTTCTCTTCTACACAAAATTTTGACAGATCATATTACTTGTGTGCTCGTGTGAAGGGGGCTTTAGATTGACTTTTGGCAAATGATAATTTTACACCATTTCCATTGAAAGCATAAATCCGATAAAGTTAAATTCCTTTCCTTTTCTGTAATATTCTTCAATAAACTTGATTCCCCCCATATTCCTAATTAATTTATAAATAAACATAAATCTCTAAACTTACCAAATAAAATACTTTTAAAATTCACCTTCTCTCTTTTCACCACTCTCTAAACTCACCAAATTTCAGTAACCTCAAACTTTTGTAAAATTCTTTTACGATTCTCATCGGTAGGTCGTATAATCTTTAGGGGTTTCATTAAAACCGCCTCTATAAAGGACTTGTGATATTTTATTTGTGGTATAGAAGGTGCTATTAAACTATCCAAGTCAGAATCTGAGTCCACATCATCTTCATCCAATTTCTTGCCATTCAAAGTTGTATTCGAATTCTCGGTTAAATTGGGTGTTAAAATCGAAGGTGAATCATCGAAATTTTCCAAAGATTTATTACGCAAATAAGATGAATCCATGGAGATGGTGGACAAAGAGAACTCATCTACTAAACGTTCAAAAGATTTGGCAATTTTCCTAGACGCTGGCTGTTGATTGCCAGACGTCGGTGTTGCTGCAGTATTTTGTGGTGTTGAAGTTAAAGTAGGTTGGGCAGATAAATGGGTTTTTTGACTTGAATCGTCTAGAACATTATGCATGATATTCTTAACCTTTGTGCGAGGCAGTGATTGAAAATGATGTGGACTTGGTGTAGCTATTGAAGGAGTGAGGGAATCATTGTAGACATTGTGATTTTCTTTGTTCATTTCTAATTTCAAATCATCGTTTGCTAGTCTATAACTGTTGTTACGCTTCAAAGGCATATGCTTGTTGGCAGAAAGTGAGGGGGAGTAAGCTGATGGCTGTGGGGCCATGAGAGGGTGGTTGTTGTGGGTAAATGCGTTTTTGCATTGTTTGGGGAGTTTAATATTTTGTCGTTCGTCGTTGCTTTTTTGAGATTCGTTTTTGGGTCATCGTTATATTGAATCGATTTTTCTTTGTTGTTTGGCGTTGACGTTGTTGTTATTGCTGTTGCAAAGGGGGATTCGTTTACAACAACAACTACGTCGTCTATATCGTCGTCACTTGGATTCACATCCACTTGGGGCGGAAGTGCATTATTCGCAGCTGTTTGTTTGTGTTTGAAATTTTGGTATTTTAAATCTCTAGGTGGCAAAGGTGGTGGTGGTGGAAAAGTTGAAAGAGTTGGGGTGGGGGTGGGGGTTCTAGATGCGGATGTTGTTTCTAATGATTTTTCATTTTCAACTTTTCTTTCTTGGCTTTCGTTTTCTTTGTCTAAAACACTTTTCATATTTCGCACTGAATTTGAATTTAAAGAATTTATTTGAGCTTCCTCATTCATGCTACACATTGATGTTAGTTTTTTATTTAAATCGTTGGTGGTTTTGTTAATAATTTGTTTATTATTTACATGGTCTAGGTGTAGTGTGATGGAGGAAGAGGGGTCTGGGGATGTTATAATACTTAGAGGTTTATAAAGCTTACCTTCGTCATCTTTGGATGAGCCACTTTGTGTAGTGGTTGTTGTGGATGATGATAATGAGGAGGATGCCGTTGATGATATGGTGGAGCCAGTACTTGAAGCTGTCGATTTAGTTGATGGAGAATGCATAGACTGTTGATGGAAATAGGGATTGGTGCCATTGGCTATTAAATGCTTGGTATTATTGACATTGGCGTTGCTGCCGCCAGTGTCTTTATTGTACACCGCATATTGGGAAGTCATATAAAACCCGGACATTTCGTTGGCAGTGTATTGTTGCTGTTGCAGTTCTACCGGTGTAGAAGGCAGTGGTCTTTGGAGATGCGATTTATTTATTATGGGCCGGACATTGGCAATTTTTCGTGGATTTGCATTGCCCTTGTTGAGTAAAAGTAATTTTGCGGCTGGATTAACACTTTCACTTGCCGTATTGCGTATTGTAGTATCGATACTTTCGTTTTCAACTTCCTTATAGTCGTCGTCTAAAGCGTCCTCTTGTTGCCGTTTAACGTACGGACCCGGTGCGAATGTTGTGTGCGCGCCTTTACGTCGTTTCAAACTATCGGAATCATAGATTGGTTTGCCTTGTGCATTCAAACGTACTCTCGCTCCTTTATGGGGTGAAACGTGCGGCGAAGAGGCTGCAGACGATGGTGGTGTGTTTTGCAAGTAGCTGAGAGCATTTGTTGAAGCAGATGCTGCAATTTCTGAACGTAATTCATTTATTTCAGCATACATGGGTATGGACGCGGCTGCCGCTCTCGTCATTGTTGTTGTTGTTGTGTTTGCCATTGTTGGCAAATTGCTTTGTTTTGTTTCCTCAATAAATTGCGATTCTGCGCCCTGTTTATTTCTTTGTTCTTGCAATTGTGTCTCTCTATTAAAACTACCCTTCTCACTTTTACTACTCATCGACTGAGATTCCTTAGCATAAGCTTTTTGTATGTTTCTTGGCAGTTCATTCAATGAAACATACTCTGTGGGTTTTGGCAGTCTATTCAACACATTGTTGGAGTAATAAATACCCAGGCCGGTGTTCGCAGAAGCTTTAGGCATATTTTGAGCAGACTGTAAAGCTTTCTTGTTATTATTACTAACATCAGCAGAGATGTAGACATATTCACCGGCCATATCATAAAGCTCATCATCGTTGATAACAGTAAGCTCTTGGGAAGGCAAAGCTTTGGAGGGTGATTTCTTAATATTGGGCAAAACAACCTTAAGTTTATCCATTAGCGACATGTTAGCTTTAACATGATTCAAATTATTGTCGACTTCCTGTAAAGAAAGCTTTTCATCCTCTTCAATGTCAGTTAAATCTTTGAAACTGTCTTCTGTTAGCGTCTTATTAAGCTCATCGTCTTCGTCATCGTGGCCATTACTTTGCTCCTCATGGGCTTGATTCTCATCATCACTAGTAGAGGGCGTTATTATACACATTGAGGGTATACGTTTGGCGTTCAAAGCTGTTTTCTGCCTCATACGCTCTATACGTTCTACACCCTCCAGATCTGAACTTTCCGAATATTCAATTTCATTTGAGGCTGAGGGCAAAGGTAAAGCTTGGCGCTTCTTAATTTGTTCACTGTAATTAAATTCTTCTTCTTGGGATTCGGGTGTATCTATATTTTGCATATTATCACTTAAATCATCAGAGCAAGTGGTCAGCTTTAGTGAGGCATTGACATTTCTCTTTATGGTACCAGTTCTTTCTAAAGTACTGCCTATAGTACTGCTGGATATGCTGCGCTCGAGTGTGGATGTTGAAGCTGTACTGTGTCTAAGAGAACTTATACGTTCGGGTACTTCGGGACCACAACTGGCCAAGCTGTTGTTGAGGCTGGACTGTTCAGCACCACTGTTGTGAGCCATTAGGGTAGTGCAAACTGTACCAGCCGAACTGGTGGTGGTTGAGGTAGAACCTCTGCCAAATAACTCATATTCATTCTCGGCCATAAGGGTTTGTTGCGAATTATTGTTATAGGATAATTGCGATTGCCCAAAGGAGGCATTAAAGGGTTGACCTCCAATCTGGAAATTGCTCATATTGAATTCTTCTTCTTTCAGAGTTCTAAGACCACTATCCATATGAAAGGAGGTGTAATAGCCTTCAGTATCGCAAGAATAAGCCGAACTGGTCTCATCATCCAAGTGATTAGGATAAGTGCCCTCCATGTTGTTGGCATTTATTTGCAAATCCGGAGTAGCGGTACCCTCACTTGTTACACTCGACGAAGCGGAGGTATTGAAAAATCTTCTGCGACTTAACATGGAGGAGGGTGGAGCAGAACCATTATGAAAACTGGACACATTTAAAGAAGTATTCGAAGCACTCGATTTGGGCTGTAGAGTGATCTCACTGCCTATCGAAGCCCGACCGGACTCAGAGCTGGCACTCCAATTGCCGCTGCTCGAATGGGGTTGGTCATCTTTGCTGCCCAAACCATTAATGCGCCTCTGGCGATTCAAAGAAGAAGTATCTCTCAGCTTTACATTCGCACATACCGAATTCAAGTGAAGTTTTCCTCTCAAGTGGCCCGAACTGCTAACACTCATCGATTTCTCGGACGACGAATACGAGGGTTTTCGTTCATGCGAAAACCGACTTTCGTTCGTGCGCTGTGTTATCAAATCATGTACCCGACAATCCTCATCGACATCTGTACCCGATTTCTCACCTATCTTGGCCGTGGACGAAGTCTTATTCGATGATCCACTAGCCGAACCCGAAGCTGAACATATTTCTGCTTTCTCCGTTGAAGAATTATGCGAACTAGTACCCGAAGTATTTAAATCATTGCTACAACCACTGCTGTCGATGGTGGACAGTGTGGAAGCGTGCTGTTGTGTTAATTCACCATTATTGTTTCTCTGCATAAACTTGAAACGATTGCGGCCCCATTGTTTAAGTGAATTAAGACGGGTCAACGTATTCTTTCCCTTATCATATGGCAAGGCAACAGATTCTTTTTTTAATATATCGCTCGACTTGCTGCGACCAAATTTCTTCGATGTTGTTCCCAAGCGACTGCGTTGATCCCCATTTCCATCTTCAGTCGAAGCTAAAGCAGTTTTAAGCTCGCCACTAGTAGCCGTCGAATCGCTAAAGTTTGTTAATAAGTTTGTTTTTGTGGATTTTTTTGTTTGTTTTCGATATGTTTGTAATTGTTGTTGGAAACAATTTTATGATTTGGTACATTTTAATTTGTTTAAGGAGGAATTATCGAAAATTAAAAAAAAATTACAAATCATATGATTTCGGGAGAAATTTTGATACAAATGGAAAGGATTTTTTTTTGGGGGGGTTAGGGATTGAGGAAGAAATGAAAAAGAAGAAAAACAAAATGTTTTAAGGTTAGTTTTTATGTTAAAAAATTAAATGAACATGATAAAATAAAAAATAATATAATACATATATATAAAAAATTATGAGTAATGATAAATGAGAGGAAGAGAAGAGAATAGAATAGAAGAAATATAGAGATAGCGAAAGTAAAGAAATTTTTGTTCGAAAATATGTAAATGAGAGTGAGATATAAAGTTCAATTAGCTTCTAATGACAATTATTAATATAGTAAAAATTAACGTTTAATTTTTTCTTGAAATTTCCCAAATTATGATCTAATTTCTTTAAGAGTCTTTAATCTTTTTAATTTTAGTTTCAGAATTTTATAAAAATCATATTTTTTCTAGATCTGTAAGGGCTATGAATCGAAATTGATTTCATAGAATTTTGAATGGTTTGTCAATATTTAAAATAATTATTCTGAAACATTTTAATAGATTTTGAAACATTTTAATTGATCAGAAAATATCTGCAGTTTGACATTATTTTAAATTTCTTCTTAATTAACTTTAATGTTGTCAAAAGTTAAAAAAATTGATAAAGAGTATAAAAAGAAAGTTAAAGAGTAAAGAAATTGTGTAAAAAGAAATAAGGAACTGAGAACAAGAGTGTTTGATAGTAGCAAAGAGATGAAACAGTTAAATAAGAGAGTTATGAAGAGATAAGTAAATGATAGTTTTAAGGTGAAAAGTGAAAAGCAGTAAAATCAGAAATGAATTTAAATAAATATGACTAAAATAAAAACATGACAAAAAATATTTATAAATGTGTTTAGGAATAGAAAAAGATTTCAGTATTACATTTATTCAACTAATTAAAAAATAAAACATTTTAAACGAAAAGCCTACAAATTATTGTGATTTTTTTTCTCTCTAAATAGTTTAATCTTTAATGAGTTGTTAACTCCTCTCAAATCATTAAAATATTTTGAATATTTAATGATGTCTAATGGACATATGGTAAATCTCTAAAACACAACAATAATAAATGCATTTTTTTGTTTTTAATTTAAATTGTTATAATAAAAATTGGAGCATTTTTTTCAAGTGCTTTCCCTTGTTTATATTTTAAACAAATGCTCTAACATTTCCCCTTATTCCCAGCGATAATGCACTTTCAATCATAGATTATCATTTAAAATAATTTGTGTTGTTATTGTTAAAGAAATTAATTAAAAACCAACAAGACTTGTACAAAAAAAAAAAAATAATAAAATATTTGATTATTTTGTTAAAGATTACAAAACATTATTTTTTATTTAAAATCTAAACAATTTCTTTTTTTTTAGTTTTAATATGAGGGGAAGTGGTATTTACTTTTCGTAACAAGAAGAAGATGTTTGTTTTTGTTTTGGCATTTGTTTATGTTTCTCATTAATTTTTAAAAAGAGAAATAATTTCAATTGCATGGGGTTCTAAACCAGACATGGAAAAGTGATATTTTAAAGTAGTACTAGTTTTAAAGTAATAAACTAATTTTCTGCTAGACTAAAGACTAGACTAGATTATAGAATAGACTAGACTAGACTATAGACTAGACTATAGACTAGACTATAGACTAGACTATAGACTAGACTATAGACTAGACTATAGACTAGACTATAGACTAGACTATAGACTAGACTATAGACTAGACTATAGACTAGACTATAGACTAGACTATAGACTAGACTATACACTAGACTATACACTAGACTATAGACTAGAGTATAGACTAGACTATACACTAGACTATAGACTAGACTATAGACTAGACTATAGACTAGACTATAGACTAGACTATAGACTAGACTATAGACTAGACTATAGACTAGACTATAGACTAGACTATAGACTAGACTATAGACTAGACTATAGACTAGACTATAGACTAGACTATAGACTAGACTATAGACTAGACTATAGACTAGACTATAGACTAGACTATAGACTAGACTATAGACTAGACTATAGACTAGACTATAGACTAGACTATAGACTAGACTATAGACTAGACTATAGACTAGACTATAGACTAGACTATAGACTAGACTATAGACTAGACTATAGACTAGACTATAGACTAGACTATAGACTAGACTATAGACTAGACTATAGACTAGACTATAGACTAGACTATAGACTAGACTATAGACTAGACTATAGACTAGACTATAGACTAGACTATAGACTAGACTATAGACTAGACTATAGACTAGACTATAGACTAGACTATAGACTAGACTATAGACTAGACTATAGACTAGACTATAGACTAGACTATAGACTAGACTATAGACTAGACTATAGACTAGACTATAGACTAGACTATAGACTAGACTATAGACTAGACTATAGACTAGACTATAGACTAGACTATAGACTAGACTATAGACTAGACTATAGACTAGACTATAGACTAGACTATAGACTAGACTATAGACTAGACTATAGACTAGACTATAGACTAGACTATAGACTAGACTATAGACTAGACTATAGACTAGACTATAGACTAGACTATAGACTAGACTATAGACTAGACTATAGACTAGACTATAGACTAGACTATAGACTAGACTATAGACTAGACTATAGACTAGACTATAGACTAGACTATAGACTAGACTATAGACTAGACTATAGACTAGACTATAGACTAGACTATAGACTAGACTATAGACTAGACTATAGACTAGACTATAGACTAGAGATAGACTAGACTATAGACTAGACTATAGACTAGACTATAGACTAGACTATAGACTAGACTATATAAATTAGAAAAAGTACCAAAAATGTCAAAAAGTTCTGAAAAATGTACTAAAGTACAGAATTTTCCATTCCTGTTCTAAACACTTGTACTTATAAGTGTTTTTGTTTTGATAATAATTTTCCTGGGAATTTAATTTTTTATTCAAAATAGCATCTATTTGTTTATTTTATTAATGGTTTATTTAAATTGAGGTTTATTGATTGTTTGGTATGCTTTTTCAGTGATTATAATAATCATTATTGCAGCTGTAAACATTACATTGAAACCCTACAGTTTGTAAGTTATCTACCCAGCAAATTTGAGAAAAAGAAAGTTGTAAAGGAAGATTTTGTTTTAATTATAACTTAAACCCTAAAACACTTAAACCTAAAACAAACATAAACGTTGCCAAAATTAAGCCTATAAACAAAGAGTAGTAAAAAAACTGAATTATTTAAAGCACAAAACTTTTGCAACATGTTGCCATAAAAATGCTACTGGCGTCCAGAAACCAAAAAAAAATATCTTAAAAATTATGTTTTGCTTTTTGTAAAACATACGCAATATGCATGTTGCATAACTTTAAATGACAAAAACAAACATAAATCCATTGTTCATGAAATTACTGCAGTTAGTCTGACTCTTTTTCTTGTACCAAAATAACCCAGCAAACATTTGTCCAAAAAAATTTTATTTCAAAATATGTAATTTTTTATTCAAAATTTTATTTTTATGGCCATCAAGTTTATATTGTTTAAGTTTAAAATAAAAATTTCTCATAAATTTTATTAAATATTTGCTGGGTTGATTACCTCCCAATAAAATTGCCAAAAAATTTGCAACCATGTAAAGGTACTAAAGGAAACTACACAGACAACCTTTTTATGCCTATGTTGCATTAAAAAAAAATACAAAGATAGAGAGCGAAAGAGAGAGAGAGAGAAAATAACGGTTAAAATGATTTATGTTTATGTGCTGGTTACATTGTCTGCACACAATGGTTTACCCTAAAAATATGCAATGAAAAAAACTTTTCAATGGCACAAAGATAAAAATATCAGACAAATAAAATAAGTAGACGACTTCTTTAAAGGAGAAGGTACTCACCAAGAAATGTTATCATAACAATAACAATACATTTTTAGGAAAATTTTTAAAATTTGTTCTAAATTAACTAGTTCTAGAACAGATGGAAACCGAACCACTTAACATTCTTGAACAGCGACATTGGAACCAATAATATTGTTATTACTTCTGAAACATTATTAAAGTACTAAAGTACTTCTAGGGAGTTTGGTACTACACTAGTTCGATGAAATATATACTAGATCCGAAATAACTATTTGGAACTGATACAAACTAATCCATTTGACATTCTTAAACAGCTATATTGGAACCAACAATTCCGCGATTACTTCTGAAATATTGATCTGTGAAACATTATTGTCGTACTAAAGTACTGCTAAAAAGTTTGGTACCACACTAGTTCAATGGAATACTAGATCCGAAAGTTCAAAAAACTATATATCTAAACAGATCTTTAAGGAATTGAACAAATTGTAATCGTTGCAAAGGAACTAGTTCCATAACTGCATAAACATATATGTATGTTCCTAAAAGCATCCTTATAACTGGTATGAGGATTACAAAATAGAATGAAAGTCATTGATGAACTGGTTCCAGAACATTTTCACACAATGAGTGTTGAATCCATAAACCTTTCATAAAACCTATTCTAAAGGTGAAAAAGGTCGTGAATTCTAAGAAATGTTTCGTCGTAAAAAAATACAAAATTGTACGAAAAATTTCATAAAAATGTGGCGTGTTTTTCTTTAATATTATGAAAGAAACTAAATTTTATTTTGCTTCAATAAAATGTTTTTTTGTAAAGTTAGACAAGGATTATTTTTAGGCTAACTAATGCACTTTTTCCTGGGATATTTTATATATTTAAAGGTATTGGTGTTTGTTCTCTTCAATCTGGCCAATCTCAAATCAGTGTTTTACTATAATTTCAATAAGCATACCTTCCCCAACATAAATTTTTGATAAGAATATGATGACAAGTAATACTGAAATCTTGTTTTTATGGTTTTATGTTTGTCTAAAGGCCTAAAAAACTTGACATGATTTATAATGATGAGGATTTGGTTATTTTTAACGCAAAAAAAACTGCATGAATATATATTAAAACTTTTAAATAAAATTAAATTTTCATTAAAAAAAGGGTGATGGTAACATATTAAGCAAAAAGGTGATAAACTAAAGTTTATAAGGACTTAAAAAAATGGATTCTAAATGAAAAAATTTAATTGTGAATGTAAAAAAAATGTAGATGAAGTTTATTTTTATTAATTTATATAAATAATTTACAAAATTAGTTGTTAAGGTAATTAATAAAATTTGTTCAAAACAAATTTCAAATAAAATTTAACAGGATTAAAGCATTTTTTTGATTTTTGAGCTAAGCTTTTGGCAAATTATGGTTAAAATTTTTAAAATTTAATATATTTAACATTCATTCATAACAATAAAAACTAAACATTCATTTAATGTAAATATTTATATGTACATTTCAACTAAAATGAAATAAAATTCATGCTGTGCTAGAAAAATCATAACGTTTAAGGTTTTTTTTTCTTCATTCGTGTTTTTTAGTCTTGCAGAAAGAAAAAACACAACATTGACATTTAACTAAATAACAAAATGCTGCTAAAAATGATTAAAAGAGCTTTTTTAAAAAAAAATAAACGAATATTTTTAACATTTAATTTTTCATTTTGCATACCAATAAGAAACTTAGGTATTCCAAAAACAGCATAACAAATGCTTAAAAAAAGAAGGTAATAAGAAAAAAATAATCACAATAATTTCTAGGTTCAAAAAATTAAATGGAAATTAAAAAAAAAAAAAACATTTAAAAACTTTAACTAGACAAATACATAAAAAAGTAATATTTTCATATAGTTTTTAAACAAAATTTAACTAAAAATTTAAAAAAATATTGCATAGTTATTGATTAAAGCTTAACAACATGAGCAACATTCTTTAAGAAATGTCAACTAATTCTTCCATCCAAAATTAATCCACATTTTCTATAGAAAATTTGTCTTAAAAAGCTTTGGTCCATAATCATAGTCAAACACTAAAGTCGGTTCTTTTTAAAAACAACTTTAATATTTAAACCTGTTACTAACTGTTTCTTAACTATAGTGCAAATTAATAATGTTTTTAAGTTGATCCAGCTTTAAGTGGGTGCTTAGTAAAATGTTTGAAATTTTGCATACAAACTGGCAGGGTTCTATAAATCGACTTTCGAATAATCGAACAATCGACTTTTTGTCTAAAAAAGTCGAAGTCGACTATTTTGTTCCAAAAAAGTCGATAACTCGACTATCGTCTGTGAAAAAAGTCGACTTTGTTAATAAAAGTCGAAAAGTCTGAAAGACGTAAAGTCGAAAAAGTCGATAAGTCGAAAAAAGTCGAAAAGTCAAAAAAAGTCGAAAAGTCGGAAAAAGCCGAAAAAAGTCGAAAACTCGAAAATTGTAGAAAAAAGTCGAATAGTCGAAAATTTAAAAAAAGTGGAAAAAATCAAAAACTCTAAAATAGTCGGAAAAACTCGAAAAAAGTAAAAAAATAGTCGAAAAAAAAGTCGAAAGAAGTCGAAAATATAGTCAAAAAGTCGAAAAAAATCAAAAAGTCGAAAAATCGGAAAAAGTCGAAAAGTCGACTATTTATAAAATACTTATAGTCGAAAAGTCTAAAAGTCGACTTTTAATTAAATGAAAAAAGTCGAAAAATCGACTTTTCATAAAATGCAAAAAGTCGAGAAATCGACTTTTAACTAAATGAAAAAAGTCGTAAAGTCGACTTTTCGTTTCAACTATAGAACCCCACAAACTGGTATAAATACTGTATAAGTGGCATCTCTGCACAGCTGATGCAATAAAAGAACCAAGAAATAAACAAAATATAAATTGTTATTTTAACATTTTAAAGAAAAATAAAAAAAACTGTGTTCAATTATTTTTCAACACTTTTTCCATAATTTATAAAAAATTAACATAATTCATACGTTTGTTTTTGTGTTTGGTTTGTTTTGATCTTGTAACTTTTGATAAATGACAAACAGCTGATAGAGTTAAAGTGATGTTAACTTTGTTAAAAACAACTTCAGCTTGTTTTAAGTATAAAACTGATTTTAGCCGAAAAAGTAAGCTTTTTCTCGTCTATAGTAGCTGAAAAGTATACATTTTAATAAATGATACTTAAAGTATATTTTTTTGATGACTATGATTATGGCCCTTTATTTTTAAGAAAAGGTGTTTTTATTTTCATTTTCTATAGAAAAATGATAACAACATTTTTTAAATTTTTAACTGAAAAGTGTTTAAAAACTATTTATATATTACTTTAATAAAACATTTAAATAAATGCAATACAACAAAATCTAGTTTAATATAAAAAAACTATTTTTTGAAAAAATAAAGCTTTTTTTTTAAATTCCACTAACTGGAAACTTTTAACTTTATTCATAATTTATTTATATTCCTATAAAACTTAAATTAATATAAAAGAAATTTCAAAAAATGAAGCAAAACACATACCCATTTGCTGCATCTTGTATTTCCTTTTGATCTATGCCGGCTATAGTGTTTCTTCGTTTGCCACAAGCCTTGCGCGATCTAGAACGTCTTGAGACGGTTTGTACATCTTCGTTTAGATTGTTTGTATCGGGCATGTGGGTAAAGACACCAGTGGTTGATTTACGAGCCATACACATGCGTTGAAAACGTTTACCGGATGTATCAACAGATATGACTTCGGCAGGATATCTAAGTTAAAAAAAACATACATTTTTCTTTATAGTTTCCAATAAGTAAACATTTTCGTTTAATAAAACTATTTACAAGTCATTATTTACAAAATGAACACTTTTTAACTTGACCTTAACTTTGTCTATATTACTTCAAAAGGGTGTTTGTCTGTCTTTATTTACTGGTCATTCTAAACACTAAATAACAATTTTATGACCCTTCTCTTTAAACCATAAAAATCTAAGTTTTATGCTTAAGTAAACAAATCAGGAATAAACTACAAAAATTACGGTAGTTAAATTAACCAACAATGGTTTCTTTCTAATGACTTGACACGACGACGTAGTGTATAAGATGATCAACATCGTGACTTTGAAAATTAAATTAAAATAGAAACAAGAAAAGATGTTAACCAAAAGACCACATTATTTGTATATTTATAACAACAAAAACTACTATTTATTCTAAATGAAAATAGTAGTAATAGTTATACGTTATAGTGCAACCATGGGGTTGGGCTGTTAATAATAACGCCTAAGAATGCAATTAACCTTTAAGGTTAACTGACAACAAAAACAACATCAAAAGCATTAACTAAACAGACAGTAAGAGTAACTTTATCAGGGATGGGAAGAGAAATTTTTTAAAATTGAATGTTATTCAACATTTCACGTGAAATAAGTATGTTCCCTTTTCACTTTTTTCATTCACTAACTTTGAGCAACTTTTTCTATAGAAAAGTTGTCATAATATGAGCAACTTTTTTTATATAGAAAAGTTGTCATAATATGAGCAACTTTTTTTGTATAGAAAAGTTGTCATAATATGAGCAACTTTTTCTATAGAAAAGTTTTCATAATATGAGCAATTTTTTCTATAGAAAAGTTGTCATAATATGAGCAACTTTTTCTATAGAAAAGTTGTCAAAATATGACTAGAAAAGTTGTCATAATATGAGCAACTTTTTCTATAGAAAAGTTGTCATAATATGAGCAACTTTTTCTATAGAAAAGTTGTCATAATATGAGCAACTTTTTCTATAGAAAAGTTGTCATAATATGAGCAACTTTTTCTATAGAAAAGTTGTCATAATATGAGCAACTTTTTCTATAGAAAAGTTGTCATAATATGAGCAACTTTTTCTATAGAAAAGTTGTCATAATATGAGCAACTTTTTCTATAGAAAAGTTGCCATAATATGAGCAACTTTTTCTATAAAAAAGTTGTCATAATATGAGCAACATTTTTTATAGAAAAGTTGTCATAATATGAGAAACTTTTTTATAGAAAAATTGTCATAATATGAGAAACTTTTTCCATAGAAAAGTTTTCATAATATGAGAAACTTTTTCTATAAAAAAATTGTCATAATGTGAGCAACTATTTCTTTGTCATTCCGTTTGTAATTTCCACAATATAATTTTCCGACCCTATAAAGTATATACATATATTCTGAATCCTCATGGATAGCGGAATCGATTAAGCCATGTCCGTCTGTGTGTCTGTTGAAATCAGATTAAGCCATATCCGTCTGTGTGTCTGTTGAAATCAATTTTATGAAGACCCCAGATATCTTTGGAATCCAAATCTTCAATAATTATGTCAGACATGCTTTCGAAATTTTTCTTTTTAAAATTGTCAAAATTCGTCCATAAATAACGGAGATATAAGCAAAAATCAAAGACAACCTCTAAAAATTTCATCAAAAAAGGAAAATTTTTTGCATGCTTATTGAAATGTGTGCTGATTCTATTTCGTTGTGTATTTTGTTTTTATTTTTTTTGTGTATTTTGTTTCGTATGTTCGGATGTGTTGATTTCTTTTCGTTGTGTATTTTGTTACGTATGTTTGGATGTCTGTTGGTTTCATTGCGTTGTGTATATTGTTTTTGTTTTTTGTGTATTTTGTTTCGTATGTTTGCATGTCTTTTGATTTCATTTATAGAAAATCACTACTTTTCATAGAAAAACTCTACATTTCCTTTATAAGAATATAAGCAACAATTCCATCTCTAAGAATATAAGCAACTATTCCATCTCTGTACCACCAAATAGTCGTTAAAACAACTACAAAAACATCTTCCTTTAGGCATAATTATTACTTTTTTTGTTGGTTTCTATAACACCTTAAAATAAAACTTTTTTGCTGGATTGTAATGTGTTTAGTATTATTACTATTACTAGTTATTGCCTTTGATTTTATAGGTTTTTATGTAATAAGATTTTCTAAAAGAAAAAAAGTTTAATTTCATGCCATACAAACACAAAAAAATAAACAAAAACTCTTCATTACTTTTAATAACTGGAAACGCCTTTTGATCTACTGTATAAAAATGCAAGTTTAAATACATACACTGAATTCATTAAGAATTTAAAATGAATCGTCAGTTATAATATGCCTTTAAAAAAAACCTAACGCTGTAGTTTACATTGTGTTTTTTAATAAAAACGCAATAGCTGCAAAACAAATCTATAGGCGTATACTTGAAAACAAATTTTTTTCAAGTATTTCAAAAAAAATAACTCTTTTGCTCTATGAAAACCACAAATTAACATGCTTGAGTACTTTGCTAAATAAATAACAATTTAAAAATATATAAACAAAAAAAAATTTACATAAAAAATATGTATAAAATTTACCAGGTTTTTATGTTAATAAATATACAAAATTTTTAAGGGCCTGTATGCAAATTAGTTTGAAGTGATTTGCACCACAACATATAGCGCCCAAAAACACACTCGAGAGGCAATTTCATTTAAAATTAATAGTTTTTTATGCTTTTCTCTGGCATACAACTATAAATCATGCTAAAGTTTATTATAAATAAAGTTTTATGACAAAATCATGTTCATGGTTGACTACTTTTTTTGTTTTTGTTTTTTTTAACGAAATTTAATGAATTTTAAAAAATTGGCTTACCTTAATGCTATTATTTTACATTGTTCTTCGGGTGAGGGCAGTCGATGATTTAAAGGCACATCTTTATTGATATCATTAGGAATTTGACTGTTATCTATAGTGTTACTAACATTAATGGAATATAATGCATCTACAGCATCAGCTGATAGAACGGACGGAGAAAGGGCTGGTGTTAGAATGCCATTATCACCAATACACACCGATGTACTAATCGATGTATCAACATGATGCATACAATCGGGTGTGACGGTAACATCACCGAGGGCTTCAGAAGAAGTCCATTTGCGCAAATCTTCAATGGCGGCGGGCTAAAAAAAAAAAAAAAAAAATTAATTGTTAATTATTAAACTTTTAACATATTTATTTGCTAAAATTTTCTTCTTTATATTTAAATGTATTTTTCATCCTAAATGTAGGCTATTAATTTATAGATTATTTGTTTCAACCCACAAAAATATGCAACAAAATGTATTTAATGGTCACCTTAATGCTTTTAAGGTTATTTTCAACGAGAAAAGTTAGATATTTCAAGCCTAAAAGTATGTCCTTTCCTAAAATAAGCAATTCAAACTAAATTTGTAAAAAGTTTTTCTAAAATATTAGCTTGTTTTCACAATACTAATACTTAAAGTTGTGCTATTGTTAACAAACACAATACGTCTTATAGAAATTATACATCTGGTTCAACCCTAAAGTATGCTTTAATTAATAATATTAAATTCCTATTATACCTGACCTACATTAGACTAATAAGTATTCTGTATAACAAGTTTTCTTGAAGTTGTTTCATTGATAAAGTTATTTCTACTTTATTGGTGTATACCCAAATGTATGCTATCAATTTTATCAATATTTCTTTGTAACACCTGTTCTTAATAGTGCAAATACATGAGAATATTCGTAAAAGCCATTTTAACATTAAGTCCAAAAGTATGTCATTAGATTTTAGTTTTGAAACATGACAAATTTTATTGTTTTTTGCAAACAATAAAATTAGAAGGAATTTTTAAAGACTGCCCAAGCATTAAACATGAAAATTTCTTCTATAGAAAAATTCTTATAAAATAAGAGACTTTTTCTAAAGAAAAATTATTATAATATTAAAAACTTTTTCTATAGAAAAATGTTCATAAAAGAAATAATAGAAAAATTGTGCTGAAAAAATGCCATAAAATGAACAAATTTTTTCTATAGAAATTTTTTTTATAAAATGAACAACTTTTTCCATAATAAAATTGTCATAAAATGAACAACTTTTTCTATAAAAAAGTTGTCATTAATTGAATAACTTTTTCTATAGAAAAGTTGTCATAAAATGAGCAATTTTTTCTATAGAAAAATTGTCATAAATTAAATATATTTTCTTATAGAAAAATTGTCATAAAATGAACAACTTTTTCTATAGAAAAGATATCATAAAATGAGCAATTTTTTCTATAGAAAAGATATCATAAAATGAGCCACATTTTCTATAGAAACTTGTAATAAAATTATTAACTTTTCCTATAGAAAAATTGCCATAAAATGACCAACTTTTCCTTTAGAAAAATTTACATAAAATATAAAATTTTTTCTATAGAAAAATTGTCGCAAATTAAACATGTTTTCCCATATAAAAATTGTCATAAAATGAACAACTTTTTCTATAGAAAAGATGACATAAGGTGAGCAACTTTTTCTATAGAAAAGATATCATAAAGTGAGCAATTTTTTCTATAGAAAAATTGCCATAAAATTGTCATAAAATGAACAACTTTTTCTATAGAAAAGATGACATAAAGTGAGCAACTTTTTCTATAGAAAAGATATCATAAAGTGAGCAATTTTTCCTATAGAAAAATTGCTTTGAAATGATCAACTTTTCGTATAGAATAGTTGCCATAAAATGAACAATTTTTTTCCATGGAAGTTTTATAAATTAAACATCTTTTCCCATAGAAAAATTGTCATAAAATGAGTCAGTTTTTCCATAGCAAAATAGTCATGAAATGAGCAACAATCTAAAATAAACATTTTGTAAAAATTTAAAACATTGACCAAAACTAAAAAAAATGAGATCATCTACCATTTTTAATTTGTAAAGAAATGATGCAACAAAATATACATTTAACTTTTTTGAAAAAGAGAGAAGGAAACAAAGAAACATCCTTTAACTGTGCTACATTTAAACTTTGCTACTTCAGCCACAAAGTAGGCTACACTTAATAGACATGTTTCATTAAACCCTAAAAAAAGTTTAAACCAAAAGTTTTTTTTAACCAACTGACTCATAACATTTCATCATCAGTCTTCAAATTGCCACTTTGTTAGGTTTTTTTGGTATCTGACTGCAACAACATAGTCATCATCACCATCTACAACTTCATTTAAACGGCCGACCATTGAAACTTTATTGGAAAGGGGGTGGGGGATAAAGTTAAAAATGCCTTTAAGCATTTTAACGCAAATAAAAACCATTTAAGCACGAATATTTAAAAATATACATGTTGTGCCACCGAACAAATAAAATGGCACTTCCTCACGCAAAAATCGCACCACAGAAAATATAAAATTTATTAAAAACCTAAAAAAAACTATAATTTACAGTTAAAAGCCACTTTGGCCTACACTAAAGCAAATTTAAAATTATAGAAATTAATGAAATTTCTTTTGAAACAAAAAATCGATTTATATTTTAACGTTGAGGTCAATTGTCTGTATATAGGTCTGCATATAGTGAAAGAGGTGTGTAGGTTTCAAACACATAATAATGAAAAAGAACTTATCTACATCAACAAATTTTGCTAAAAGGTATAAATGAATTGTTTTGAAAAAAAAGAAGCCAGGTAAACTTGTCATAGACATAAAAATTTGTGCTATTTTAATAAACTAAGCATAGTTTTAGGCTTCTTTGGTTGGTATTAAAACATAAACAAACCCCTTTTATTAAAGTATAGTGTTTTTTTCCACGTTTCTGCTGATTTCATATATGATTTTTAATCCTCTTAGTATGTGTTTTTTTACTACCCAAAAATATCAAACAAAACTAAATAAATAAAAATAAAATTGAGCAAAGGAAACAATAACAATTGATTGAAAAATCCTTTCAGTTTAATTAAAATTGTAAATGTATCTTGTATGTAGAGAAAATTTATAAAATACTGAAATAAAATAACAAATATTTGTTTTTTTTTTTTTTTTCTTTCTATTTTACTATATAAAAATAATAATGATAATAAAAAATAAACTTTAACTTTGTTATAAAGTTAACTTGTTCACATATACACACAACTAAACTGACATTCACATATATTCTTTTTTAAGCTTATTAGAGGCAATTGTTTGGAAAAAATACAAAGTGATTACATGCCACATACTCCAATATAACAGTAGTCAGCAGCTACAGCAACAGCAGCCAGCATATGGTTTTTGTTTATGGACGAAAGCACAAAAATACATGGACATTTATAAACAAAAATTTGGGTTAAATTGTGGTTTTAGTTTTTGGGTTTTAAATGTACAGAAACTAATAAATAGCAGAAAAGTTTAAGAAAAATTCCAATGAATGCTGAGTGTGTGCGTGTATTTAATGTAGAAATAATAAATTTAGATTTTTAATTGGATTCGTTACAGGGAATTGTAGATAGTTTTGGGGTATTATTTCCAGTAAATATAATTTGGTGCGATTTATACTTGGATTTACAATAAATTTGCAAACTTTTATTGTTGTATTATATTTGTTTGTATTAGAGCAGCCTGAAAGTATGTTATTAACTAACATATGTATTTTCCTGAGGCAACCATTTTTATAGATAATTTACTAATGTTAAATCTTTCTTTTTCTAAAGAAAAATTGCTGCTGTTAAAGCTAGTCTATAGTCCTGTTTATACTCAAGTCTATAGTCTAGTCTTTGGTCTTTAGTTTAGTCTATAGTATAGTCTATAGTTTAGTCAATAATATAATCTATAGTCTAGTCAAAGACTAATTTATAGTCTAGTCTATAGTCATAGTAAAAGTCTAGTGTATGGTCTAGTGTATAGTCTAGTCTACAGTCTAGTCTATAGTCTAGTGTATAGTCTAGTCTGTGGTCTAGTCTATAGTCTAGTCTATAGTCTAGTCTATAGTCTAGTCTGGTCTAGTCTATAGTCTAGTCTATAGTCTAGTCTGGTCTAGTCTATAGTCTAGTCTATAGTCTAGTCTATAGTCTAGTCTATAGTCTAGTCTATAGTCTAGTCTATAGTCTAGTCTGGTCTAGTCTAGTCTATAGTCTAGTCTGGTCTAGTCTAGTCTAGTCTATAGTCTAGTCTGGTCTAGTCTAGTCTATAGTCTAGTCTGGTCTAGTCTATAGTCTAGTCTATAGTCTAGTCTATAGTCTAGTCTATAGTCTAGTCTATAGTCTAGTCTATAGTCTAGTCCATAGTCTAGTCTATAGTCTAGTCTATAGTCTAGTCTATAGTCTAGTCTATAGTCTAGTCTATAGTCTAGTCTATAGTCTAGTCTATAGTCTAGTCTATAGTCTAGTCTATAGTCTAGTCTATAGTCTAGTCTATAGTCTAGTCTATAGTCTAGTCTATAGTCTAGTCTATAGTCTAGTCTATAGTCTAGTCTATAGTCTAGTCTATAGTCTAGTCTATAGTCTAGTCTATAGTCTAGTCTATAGTCTAGTCTATAGTCTAGTCTATAGTCTAGTCTATAGTCTAGTCTATAGTCTAGTCTATAGTCTAGTCTATAGTCTAGTCTATAGTCTAGGTCTATAGTCTAGTCTATAGTCTAGTCTATAGTCCTAGTCTATAGTCTAGTCTATAGTCTCCGTGCTATAGTCTAGGTCTATAGTCTAGTCTATAGGTCTAGTCTATAGTCTAGTCTATAGTCTAGTCATAGTGTAGTCTATATGTTCTAGTCTATAGTCTAGTCTATAGTCTAGTTCTATAGTCTAGTTCTCTAGTCTAGCTATAGTCTAGTCTATAGTCTAGCTATGTCTAGTCTATAGTCTAGTCTATATTCTAGTCTATAGTTTAGTCTTATAGTTAGTCCATGTCTAGTCATAGTCCTAGTCTATAGTTAGTCTATAGTCAGTCCATAGTCTAGTCGATAGTTAGTCTATAGTCTAGTCTATAGTCTAGTCCATAGTATAGTCTCTGTCTAGGCTTAGTCTAGTCTATAGTCTAGTCTATAGTCTAGTCTATAGGTCTAGTCTATAGGTCTATATGTCTATAGTCTAGTCTATAGTCTAGTCTATAGTCTAGTCTATAGTCTAGTCTATAGTCTAGTCTATAGTCTAGTCTATAGTCTATAGTCTAGTCTATAGTCTATAGTCTAGTCTATAGT